CGGCAAGGCAACGGACAGCAGGCCATGTCCCTGGCCATCCTGCGGGTCATCCGCCTGGTGAGGGTCTTCCGCATCTTCAAGCTCTCCCGCCACTCCAAGGGGCTGCAGATCCTGGGGCAGACGCTGAAGGCCTCCATGCGGGAGCTGGGGCTGCTCATCTTCTTCCTCTTCATCGGGGTCATCCTCTTCTCCAGCGCCGTCTACTTCGCCGAGGCCGACGACCCCACTTCGGGTTTTAGCAGCATCCCGGACGCCTTCTGGTGGGCAGTGGTCACCATGACGACCGTGGGCTACGGTGACATGCACCCAGTGACCATAGGGGGCAAGATCGTGGGGTCGCTCTGTGCCATCGCCGGCGTCTTGACCATTGCTTTGCCAGTTCCCGTGATCGTCTCCAACTTCAACTACTTCTACCACCGCGAGACCGAGGGGGAAGAGCAAGCCCAGTACATGCACGTGGGCAGTTGCCAGCACCTCTCCTCTTCGGCCGAGGAGCTCCGCAAAGCCCGGAGTAACTCGACTCTGAGTAAGTCGGAGTATATGGTGATCGAAGAGGGGGGTATGAACCATAGCGCTTTCCCCCAGACCCCCTTCAAGACGGGCAACTCCACGGCCCCCTGCACCACGAACAATAACCCCAACTCCTGTGTCAACATCAAGAAGATATTCACGGATGTTTAACATGTGAACCAAGTGACATACTGTGCCGGGTAGTGTGTGGAATGTGTCCCCTCGGTCCTGTTTTCTACATCTCCAGACCATCCATCACGGACAGAGCACTGGGAAGTGGAGCGCCCATGTCATTCTCCTTACCGCTTCAGACTGAAAGGGGTGTCTGTATGCAAGCGGGCTGCATCCTCTCAGCTCTCCTCTCCCTCCCCCAAACCCCCTCTTAATAGTGAGAACTACAAGCTTGTTACTTTAACCTTGATTTCTTGTACACTCCCTATTTAAGAAGAACAACAAAAAACAAAAAAGCACATCCTGGGGGTGGGGGTGGAAATGAAACTAGAGAGCAGTTAGAGTGAGTAACCGTTTAACCTCAACATTGAAAAGGTGGTTTCCCCTTACTGAGTAACGCAGGCAGATTCTGAACGATGCTTCAGCGGGGTGGACCCTCCCAGATCCTGTGTTGAATGTTTAGCTCCAGGACCTACCGCGTGGCCATGTGGATGGAAAGTCGAATTAGAACCATTGACTTGTAAACCCCACCACAAGTTTATTTGATCTAGTTGAACCTTCCTCCTTCCGGAATTTGAAGCGTTTCTGCAACTTTGAGCAAAGGGAAATGCCCAAGGTGTCTGATCTGACCAATTAGTTTCACTCTTTTTTTGACTGGTTAAGCCTTGCAGAAGTATTAGATGAACAGCTAATTCCCATGCAGAAGTTCGGTGCATGTTACCCAGCCAACACCTATCAAAGTCTAGAAACAGATGTTTTCAGTGCTGCGAGAGGGAAAACAGTTCTGATGCTTCTGAGCAATAAAGCTTCTGCAGTGTCACACGAAGATTAAAAGTGGCAGACTCCCCTTCCAGCGGAAGTTACTAATTCGGACCTGACTGATGCAGTTCCCATAGCAACCCACGTTTCCTGGGAAACCTGAAAAAGGTTGTCATGGCATCTCCTGCTCTCTAGCCCTACCCCCAGTCTCTGCCGTTTCCACAGTAACCTTTCCAGAGGGTTTTTAACATGGGTTCATAAGGAAAGTCTGTTTGAATAAACCGCACAAATAAAGTTCAGCCTGAAAATCCGAGGAGGTGAAATGAGTCACAAATTGAATTTTTTTTCTTTTTACTACCAAAAACATCATTGATGTCATCCCATAAGGACTGAATCAAGAAAGAAGAGGATCGTGGAATGTTAGCTATCACCCACAATATAAGGCATGGTTTGACTGAAATGCCAGTTATTCGGCAATAATTTTAAAAGAAGCTTCTCTACAGTTTTCTTTCTCTTTCTCCAGGACGTTTCAAGCCAACAAAGGAAGGTAAAAGGCGAATGTTCAAGTGGTTTGTATGTTAGCGAATGAGAGATTCATTCAGGGCACCATAGTACTCATAAAACTTGAAATACACAAAGGATGCAAGTTTTTAACTGAGGGAATTGCAGACAATCAATAAAAACGAGGGACGGGAAGTCATCAAACTTTGGGGAATTCCGGCAAGTTTCAGCCAAATGCCAGGGGTTGCCAGAAGACAGACAGCGCCAGGTGAGCACTCTGTCCTAGTCTGCTGTGAGCACTGCCCTTTTGTACAGGGAGTCAGGGAAATGTCCTGTCTAAGCTGAGGATACTTTTGAAACCAGTAGTTTTATGCTAATCACGTGCTTGGCACCTTTTTAAAAGATCAATCACAACATCATTTCCATTCGATTTTCATGTTACTAACTGCTCTTTGAGCCTTTTGTAATGACTTATTACAAGCTGGGGGCGGGTGGGGAAGCATTGCTCTTCAGAATAACCTTCCCCTAAGCTGAGCTGAAAAGAATTCCATTTCTTTTGCTACCCCACTTGGCTTCTGAACAACCTGTTTCCACTTCAGAATCGGGAAAGCCAGGACCTCCTGCTGTGAGACAATTGATCCCATTTTAATGTGCATCATTCTTTGGTAGTAAGGGTAGTACAGTTCTTTGGGGGGGAAAGCGAAAAGGGAAATAAGAGTACTTTTTAAAATCACTTGTAGATACCTTATCTACGATTGCTTTTTAGTTTTATATTACCTGTAGCCGTTTGTCTATGTTTATAGTTCATAAAATATTTTCAGGAGGTCAGAAGCAAAACTGTTTTGCTCGTGGTGCATTTAAGGATGAGGACAGAAAAGACAGAGCACAAGCAGGAAAGCTAGATCCCTGCCACAGCCTCAGTGTTCTTACCTGGGGGCACCTAAATACCACTCTGTCTGGCTTCCTTTGCTACGTTTTTTGCAGTTACCTTTCACTTTGATCTACATATAAGTCAAACTTAGGATATTCTTAGTGATCAGAGATTCTTCTTAAGCCCATTTTGATAATATGTTAGACACACGGTAGAAATCACAGGAAAAATGTTTTCAACCTGTTTCTAAAAGATGCTGCCTTAAAGATGAACTAAGTTCAATAGGAATTTTATTCATATTTATTCAGTTGATGTAGAAACCCTGATAAGTTCTGTAAGTAAATTATGGTTTTGCCATAGTTTTTAGCATTGTGTGCTGCTTATGAAATAACAGCCATACAAAAGGACATTGTTATTTTTATTATTAACAGAAAAATCATGACTGTTGAGTCACAACTTGGAGACAGTATAATTGCTTATAGGTTATAGATTCTGACTCTTGATAAAATACTCATGCCTAACACAGAATGTAACACACTGTGTGTATTCAGTATTGGTTAAGTGGCTGCTCTCTTGCAATAATACCTTTTCCAGGTTCAGTAATGAAGTGTGGTCCAAAGGTAAGCTCTGCTGTTACATTGCAGCCATAGTGCCACTCTCTGCTGTATGACCTTGAGAAAATTGCCTAACCTCTCTGGGCCTCTGTTTCCTTATTTGTAAAGTGAGGATAATAAATAGGGCTGTTGTGAGTGTTAAATGTTAATACAAGGAGACCATTCAGGAGAAATAATTACATGACAGGCATCAGTGATGAGTTTGCTAAAAGATGACATTATCTTGAGATAATTATACAGGAACATTGTGTAATCAATGCAGAGCTTTGTGAAAGATACCTGACACATAAATCATCACTCTACCTGTTTTCTTTCTATACAAACAATCACAAATACCACTTATTAAGGGCCAGTCGGGTTTTGGACCCTTCTCTATTCTGCAGAGTAGGTGAGGTTTGCCTCATTTTAGGAGAGTTTTTTTTTAAATGATGATTAAAGTTAAGTGATATCACTGATTCCACATCTAGCAAGAGGCCCAGATCATTCTGGTTCCAGAACTCAGGCTCCTTTTATTGGGCCATTTGAAAGAGGCTGAGAATGTTTTCTATGCTTGGCTTCAGCCCATCTTATTAATGAATTGGGGTAAAAAATTACTCCTCTTAAGCTTATTTCATTCGGGTTACTCTTTAATAATCAACTATTTTTAACAAGAAGGAGCAAACAGAAGATTTTAATCAGGTACAGAAATAGAATTTCCTAGTAGTGAAAGGTTTTCTTATAGGATTGATTCATCTGGGTTTAATCTTATATTCAGAAAATACAATCAGTCCCAGTAGTGAGCCCTGCCAGCCCAACAGATATGTTTTTCAGTTTTAAGATTAATGCCCTGTTTTCATGTATTTTAATCTCCAATAGGTAATACGATGACACAAATTGCTGTTTCTTATCTTCTTATACTTTGCTTAGGTTACTGAAGAGTCATGCCAGAAAACAGTGTAAACATTGTGACTGTGTCTGTCTTTAGAAAGGAGGAATTACTTAGAACAAAAGGATTGAGGGCAGGAGAGATTTCCAGTTCATTTAAATTTGTGGCATTATTGTCTTACCCAGCTACTCCATGAATCTAAGAACCCCTGCTCTAAAGCCCATAGAATATAATTTTAACCCACATAAGAGCTGTCCCTACTCGTTTGGGAAATGAAAATGGGTAGTGATTTGGGTGTAGAGAAAAGGCTGATGACTTTGTAGTTGACACATTCTAGTTAGCTCTGCCACTAGTTAGCCACCCACTTCACAGTTGGATTGCATGCCTTGGGTTTTGGCAAGGAACACATGTCAGTGCATAGCAAGACAGTCAGGTGAGGAGGTGTGACTAGATCCACGCATATCCATCAGTGCCCCGGAGGCAAATGCACATATCCTACAGTTAGTGAATTTAGCGATAAAGAAGGCTAACCTTGCTATTATTTTATTTTGTTCATGGTATTTAAAATTAATTGTAAACTGCTGTTATACCAGATTTAATACCTGGCATCTACAGAAACAATTACAAATGCCTATACATAAAAGAAACTACGTAAATCATTTCTAAAGTTTTAAATAAAATTTCAAGGTTGAAATTTTATATGCACAGTGCTAAGCAGTTTTGAGTTCTGGCTTACATAATATTTGCTATGTCCCTCTAGCATATAACATACCCAAGTAATTGTTTTGCTGGTAATATATAAATTTAGCTTACATAAAATATACCAAAAATCTATTCCTTTGAGAACTATAACTTAATTTTCTGGCTTTTCTATGTTTTAAAATGTTAACATTCTCTACAACAGTCCCAAGTCCTTCCCACCCCTCGGCTGTGACAAGCCTCCCACCAAGAAATGCAAAGCAGTCCACGTGTCCTTCAGTCTGACGACTGAACAGACACACTGAGACAGCGCTGAGAAAATGAAGGAGGAGGAAGAGGCTATTTAGGAGTGCATTTTAGGGTGTGTGTGTGTGTGGGGGGGGATCTTTTTTGTTTCATCTTTGGCCTTTTCACCTAAGGAGGAGGAAACTCTTGGTTTGATACTTCTAATGCCCCATATTTTGAGGTGGTGTGTTTTTTTTTTAACATTTTATTGGGGGCTCATACAACTGTTATCGCAATCCATACACACATCAATTGTGTAAAGCCCATTTGTACATCATTCTCAAAACATTTTCTTTCCACTTAAACCCCTGGCATTAGGTCCTCATTTTTCCCCTCCCTCCCCGCTCCCCGCTCCCGCATGAGCCCTTGATAGTTTATAAATTGGTATTTTGTCATATCTTGCCCTGTCCGACGTCTCCCTTCACCCACTTTTCTGTTGTCCATCCCCCAGGGAAGAGGTCACATATAGTTCCTTGTAATCGGTTCCCTCTTTCCAACCCACTCTCCCTTTACCCTCCCTGTTTTGCCACTCACACCACTGGTCCTGTAGGGCTCATCCGCCCTGGATTCCCTGGATTTTCAGTTCCTATGTTAGTGAAATCACAAGTCAGGTGAGGCAGGACGAAGGGGAACAATGCCAGGCAGAGAGCCCCAGCCTTCCTCTAACGTGGCTCTGCTCCTACCTTTCGGGCAGACAGTGGCCGCTGCTGTCCAGCACAGGAAAACAGGCTACTCATGCTCAGCTTGCAATGCTCGTTTAGATGAGTCAGACGGGTTATCAAGTATACAGATGTTTGCTTTCATTTTTAATGATGCTGTGAACTGATTTTCTCCTTGAAATTGTTAAGAAAAATGTTCACCCCCACAAAAGGATTTTTTTCCTTCTTTTTGGTACTAGACTTTTTCCTGTACATGTAAAAGGCCATCAATCATCAAGATACAGTAAAGGAGCCATCTGGGGACAGACGAGGTCCTGCTTCTGGGCATCATTTCTTGGGAGCCATTTATCATTCTTGGCACCTAAGTAGGACAGAACAGGAACTGTGCTCTGCGGAACGAGCTCTTGAGCCTGTGGTTGATAAGTACGTAGTACGGAAGTGAGCACAGAAACGAGGGTTCGGCATATCTGAAACCAGTGTTACCAAGAAATCTGTGCATGCAGGCTCCGCCTGCAGATGCAGGGATCACTAGCTCACGCCTCCCTCCGTGTGGGGAAGGCCAGGGGCAGAAGAAGCCTTTCCCTTTCTGTGACCCCGCCCCTGTTCCCCCCCACCCCCCACAGCAGCACAAGGACTCTTGGGAAGCTTTGTTGAGATCCCTACGAAGTTTTAGAATGAAATTTAGGATTGTACCTATGCAGTCGATACTGTTAGGTCATTTATTTTCAGCTGCCCTAATGGGAATTCCCTCTACATCCTAAGGCTCTATTTTTACATATTTAAACATATTTATTAAATTTAAACATGCGATTTAATTTGGGAGTGAAGTTATTGGGGAAGCAATTTATATGTGTGTGTGTGTGTGTGTGTGTATATATATATATATATATATATATATGAATAAAGGAACCTGGGTGTTACAATGGTTATGCATCGGCCACTTACTACAAGGTCAGCAGTTTGAAACCACCAGCAGCTCTGTGGGAGAAAGAGGAGGCTTTCTTCTCCAGTAAAGTTTACGGCCTTGGAAGCTCACAGGAGTAGTTCTACCCTGTTCTATAGGGTTGCCATGAGTCAGAATCAGCTGGATGGAAGTTGGATGTATATGTATGCTGTTGTTGTTCTTCTTGTTAGCTGTTATCAAGTAGGTTCCGACTCACTGGGACCCTGTCTACAATGGAACAAAACACTGTCAGCCTGCACCATCCTCACACTTGCTAGGTTTGAGGGCATTGTTGTAACCAATGTCTATATGTGTGCGTGCTCATATACTGT